TCTTATAAACGACATATAGTTTCAGTTATAATATGGATAAATTTGCCCTAAAATGAATATCGTTCGGTTAAATAGCATTTAGGTATAAATATAATTGCACTTTTGTGGCCCTCGGTCATTTACCTGCAAAATAAAAATGCAAATACGCAACTTTTTCAGGGTGGCAGCACGGTCGCGGGTGTCATGGCGCCGTTCAAATTTCGTAGCGTTGATGTGTAAATAATTAATTAAGTATCTGGTGACAAATACATGTGGGTATAGACGATTTGTTATACAGTAAGTACAGTTGTATGCAGTAAAATCCTAGAGGCTACTGTCCCTTTAAAAGTCCATAATATAAAATAAAAATAGAATTTTCTATTATGAACTCTTGGTGTATATGCATGTGTGTGGGGTGCGTGGGACGTAGGCTCCTGTCCGTTCGTTCGTTCGTTCGTTCGTTCGTGCGTGCGTGCGTGCGTGTGAACGTGTGTGAGTGCGTGCGTGCGTGCGTGCGTGCTTGAACAATGAAGAATTGCGGTTTTAGTCGGAGTGCTAGTCAACAAGCTATCTCAAGGCCAAGTTTTGATCGTTTGCCAAGACTTTGATTTTGATTATTGATTATCGATTTTAATGATTGATTGTGATTGTTGATTTGTTATTTTCCAAGTGGAAATTATCAAATGAGTTTTGAATTTAGGATTTTGAAATTAAAGGCCAAGAAATGAGAAATAGAGGCCGCATTCTGAGGCGAACAATCACATATATATTATTCACAGTAAAACACCAACCCTGGCCGAATAGAGTACCGAAGTGTGACGTCACGTTGGCAAGACAACGTACGGGCTGGTTCTACACAACTTACAAGCCCCTGGCTCCATAACATTAACTGCGTGAAAATGTTGTGCGTACGTAAAACACGAGTGTGTGCGCTGCAGACAGCGGTAAAGTATCGGTAGCAAGTCGATCTTACAATATTTAATGAATTTTTTTACTGTTAATTTTTGTTTGTTTTTTTGTTGCTTTTCACTTCTATTCTTTGGAAATCTATAAAAACTGCAATAATGACTCTCAGAATGATGGTTACAATCGGGTACAAAACACGACACGCGGTTAATGTTACCAGAGCATATGATTGTGTAGAACCAGTTGAACCGTTGTCATGCCACCGTGACGTGATCACTTCGGTACTCTATAGAATATATATGTGAATATTTCACTTCTAAAGTGCGGTGGATAACGTTCTATTGCGCATAGCTTCTATATATAGACCCGCGTGCCGCAAGCGGGCTCCATGCTGCATCGTGCAGCTGCAATCGATACATATCACGTTCACGGAGTTTACCGACACTGCTAAAATATTTGCTACAGGTGTAGGTTGTCACCTTATAGCGTTCAGTAGGACACACCGACTAGAACTGATAGCAAAGATAATTATATATATATATTATATATATATTATTATAAAATAAGATATATATATATATAGCATATAACAAAAATCAAAGTATAATAATTTAATTTATATGGTAGTAGATTAGTTTATATTAGTTTATATTAGTATATATAATTTGTTTATAATTTACTATTATTTTATTTTTTTAATGGCCGATGTGTCTGTGATATAATTATCATGACCAGCGCCGCGGTGTCAATCGCTCGATGTCATCCGGGCATTCGATGACTAAAGTATTAAAATCCGACCAGCTGAAACCAATAGTCAGAGTGGTAGACACCAAAGTTCCAATCTGGATAAAACAAGTAGACTTCGTTCTCAATCAAACTCGGCAGACGACATTGTTATCACTCTCACAAGACCGTGCTGCCTTGCTGTCAAACGTTATAGAGTAAGTTACGTAGAAACTCAAGCGGCAAAAGTTACAGAGCCAGGGCCGTAACCTCTGTGGGAAGGCAATGGGGGCAGCTGCAACCCCTAGATTTTTACAGCAAAATTAAAATATAAGCTTAGCTAATAATCGTAAATAACCCTAACGTAATTTTTTGGGGTCACTTATCCGTGAAATCCTTCTCTCAGACCCACCACCCTTACCACACTATGGACGTCGATCAAGAGCTGCGCCCGTCGCTCATCATTAATGCACAAGATTGTAGCGAGTGTTGGCAACACCGCCAAAGACCACAAACATTTGAGATTGGCTTTGATGCGATGCACTCGCAATGTATGTGGTCTTTGGTACGTATGAATGTACTCTTTTGTACTCGTATAAAGTATGTGGTATATATTTATATATAGAGAGCGTTAGTTACACTGTACCCATCACGTTGTAAAAATCACAAAATCAATTGTAAATAATAATGCAATTTTTGATACCAATTTCGTGTACATGTACATATTTAAATTTTCACACATTTTAAATAGGAATGTATCAAAGCTCTGCAACTGAAATAAAAAAAGACTAGCGTGTACATAATTTTGCTGCCTCAACTTCTCATGTCTATGCTCACTATCTCTTCATAACACAAATTCTATTCTGCTCTATATGTTCATACTATTTCAGCAGCATCACTCTATTCACTATGTCACATGTAATCTTGCTCTCTGTATTCAGACAGTTCTTGCAATAGCTTGCCATCTTGAAAAACTTCCAGTCTATCAAATCATACTTGTTGTTGTTTCCACAATTATCTATCGGTGACATTCCTGCCTCCTGTCGAATTCGATAATGCATCACCTACTCCCTCAGTGTCATTCTTTATGAATTCAGCTTTGCATCGTCTACTCTCTTGATGACACTTCCACTGAATTCAGCTTTGCATCACCTACTCTCTGTGTCATTCCTTTTGAAATCAGCTTTGCATCGTCTACTCTGGGTGACCTTCTTGCGGATTTGTGCCGGTATCACAGTATTCCCGCCGCACTAGACATGCTCGCGTCGAATTCCGATCTGTCGACGCTCATGCCTCGCGTCCTGTACTCGAGGAACATCGCAAAGATCTTCATGCCGAGAAAGACGAGAGGAACCGCGAGCTGCATTCCAAAGAACAACGCGATCGTCACGGCGCCGCGCTGCAAGCTCACGAAGAACACGGCGAGCGTCACGACGGGGTAGACGACCAGCTTCGCCGCCAGGTGGCCGTGGCTGCGCCCGCCGAACGCGATCTCCGGCTCCAGCAGCTGCTCCCCCTGGCGGCACAGCGCCGCGATCCACACGCACGCCATGAAGGTGGCGCCGAGGAACACGCACGCGCAGTTCATCTGGATCGCGATCATCTCGTTCGTGAGACGCACGTCGCGGGGGCTCACCGGCGCGTCGTCGCCGCGCGGACGCATCACGAACTCGCCGGCGAGCTTGAACCCGAGCGGCAGCAGTCCGATCGCGAACAGCGAGAGCGTGTTGAACATGAGCATGGCGTCGTCGACGCACCGCACGCCCGCCAGCAGCGAGTGATGCAGGAACCAGAGCGTCGCCACGGTGATGAACGTGCCCGCGTACGCGACAAACACGGGAGCGGCGTCGGCGAGCGCGGGCAGCAGGCCACCGGCGGCGGCGACCTCGTCCGCCGTCGGCACGTCGCGCTCGGAGATGTCGAGGATGACGAGCGTCGCGACGATCGCGCATATGGCGTCGGCGAAGCTGGTCGTCTACCCCGTCGTGACGCTCGCCGTGTTCTTCGTGAGCTTGC